TTAGTTCTCCCCTCTCTTCTGACATATGTATATCAAGAACACTAGTTATTCTGTCATCTCTTATCCCCCTTAAGATGATGATATGCGTCATGTTCTTCTCCTTTTGTCGTTTTTTGGTCCCTCCAGACTTTCTGAACTGAGGCCTGTTAGTGCTACTTCTTGCAACCTGCCACAAAATATGGACTATTCAACAAGTATACTAGCCCTGTTTTTTACATCCATCAGCGCATCTAATTGAATAATGTGAAATCATGTTGACAATGGTTTACGTGCTCTGTATGCCATAGTAGTCAGTTAGAACTGTCCTCCATAAGCGGTTCTAAACCTAATCAAACCGCCGATGGAACTGCAGGATACACACATGTTGCTCACTGGAGGTGTGGAGAAGATTTTGCGTATATATGACATGAATCGTCCAGATGCAGCTCCAAGAGAACTTGACAAAACACCTGGTTCTGTACGAACTGTTGCTTGGCTTCACAGTGACCAATCTATTCTAAGTTCCTGCTCTGATATGGGTGGAGTGAGGTTTGTCTGGAAAATATCTTTAAAATTTGCAGCTAGTATGAAGACACATGCTGCTTCTCTATGCAAAGCTTATTATGTTTGTTCCCCTTGATTAATTACTCTGATCATACAGGTTATGGGATGTGAGAAGTGGAAAAATTGTCCAAACTCTTGAAACCAAGGCACCTGTCACCAGTGCAGAAGTAAGCCAGGACGGCAGGTTCATCACTACAGCTGATGGGTCAAGTGTTAAATTTTGGGATGCGAACCAGTAGGTTCTTTCCTGTATGACCATTGATCTGCATCACTTGTATTGTTTGGTTCCTTGACATTTTTTCTGGTAATTCTGCAGTTTTGGGCTTGTTAAAAGCTATGATATGTCATGCACTGTGGAGTCAGCTTCACTTGAACCAAAGTCTGGGAGTAAGTTCATCACTGGAGGGGAAGATATGTGGGTTCATGTATATGATTTCTTCACTGGTGAAGAAATAGGTAAGTCTGTTATCATATTTAATCATTTGATTCCTGCAAGACTGAAACATCTGTGCAGTTATGCGTTACCAAAACAAGAACATTAGCTAGCATAATATTTTTGTTAAGCTTTCACTATTGTGAGTTGTAGAGTGTTTATAACTCTTGTTTGTATCCTGACCAGGCGGAGAAAAATATAAGAACATTAGCTAGCATAATATTTTTGTTAAGCTTTCACTATTGTGAGTTGTAGAGTGTTTAGAATTCTTGTTTGTATCCTGACCATGCGGAAAAAAATATAAATCCCCAGAACGTTTTCTTGGTGATCCCTGGTTACCCAGGGAACCAATCAGTAAAAATGGTTTAATTTGAAACTTACAGAGACAATAAACCAGTGATTTACTATAGTTATAACAAGCTTCTATCCCAAGGGTAGGGATTACTGGATATGTGAGAGTGGTACTGGGTTCAAATCCTACTTTTGCAGTCATTTTTTCTTATTTGCACATAAGGCATGTGAAGTACTCAATTATATGAGACTTGTACTGGGTTCAAATCCCAATGCGGCAGTACTAGTTGGAATGATAGCCATGGGATTCTACCCACAATGAGTGAGATGTCCTGAAAGTCAGAGTATATACTGCATCGATTTTGTTATATCTATAACAAAGTAATCACCCCACTGACTGTACAATTGTGCTCTCTGGCCATTGTATGTTCATTTTTTGGCTGCACCATTCTTTATACTGATATTTGAAAATTGGATTCAAATAAAAATTTAATATTGATGTTTCAATACCTGATTCCGTTGACATGACTTGAGAACTTGTTAGTGCTCGTATTATTCTCAAGCGCAGTTTATACTGCAAAGCTAAATCCAGTGCACAAAAGTGAAAGCTTGATTTGTCTCGACCTCGCCTTTAGTATTTGTGTAGTCTGCATGCTTGTTAATCTATGGTGCCGTGAACATCCGTTATTCTGTGTTTTGCAGCCTGCAACAAAGGTCATCATGGCCCCGTCCACTGCGTCCGGTTCGCGCCTGTTGGCGAATCATACGCATCAGGATCAGAAGACGGCACCATCCGGATCTGGCCGCTGAACCCCGCAAACACCGAAGACCCCGAGGCACCCAACGCCAACGGCAAACCAAAGTCCGCCGCGGTGGCAAATGAGGTCGCCCGTAAAATCGAAGGCTTCCACATCACCAAGGAGGGGCAGACGGAGGCGTAGGAGGAGGATTGCATCGTCACCGAACCTGGCAGCGGTTAAGCCTTGTTGGGGGATTGCCGTCCGTCAGAGCCAGCCCTGGTCTCGAGTCCATCATGTCGAAGCTTCTTTGCCGACCAAGGGCGGGCGGACTTGGCAATCGTGAGCGGGACGGTGGGTCTCTCCGTTTCTGTATGGGGCACTAGCATCTAAAGAGTTGGAATAAACCAAGCGGGAAAGCGAGTCAGCAGTTAGTTTGTTCGTACAAAGTTAAAACTTAATCTTAATGTATCGACGATAGGGTTCGCCATACAAATGTCAATCGTGTTAAACACTGTTTTTGCCCATCGTTGTGTGATGATTATGACGGTGACAAAGACTGTTGGTTGGCCATTATTTGCGTACGCGGCTGCACTTACGTCTTGGATATATGCGTTGGACATGGCCGTATTGCACGACGTCTCGCCAGTGAGGATTCAGTGTCCCCCATAGGAAATCGTGCGTGGTCGTTCCAGTCCCCGGTAGAAAGACACGCTTCTCCTCGGATCAATTGCATTTCCGATAGATGAATTTTATGGGCTGAAGTTGGGTGAGCCGATGCAGGGCCGGAGGCAGCGCTCTTCTTCCTTGACTGCATCGGGTGAAGAATGCGGTGCGGAGCTCAGGTGGACATGGGGAAGTTGCCCGGCCGACGTGCCACAACGACTCGATCTTGTGGCTTGCAACGGATCGTTTAATCGGCTCGAACAGCAGCGTGGTCTGCGATGGTGTTCCTCCTGTATGGTTTCCATGTGCTAGTACGTCGTACTCCCTTCGTTTCTAAATATAAGTCCTTTTAGAGATTTTAATACAAACTATACACGGTTTTATATAGACATATTTTAGAGTGTAGATTTACTCATTTTGCTCAGTACGTAGCCAAATCTTTGAAAAGGAATACACCTGAAAAAAGTACAATCAGTGCGTTTTTTAATTTTTTTAGCATATATTAGAACTGAAAAAAATACACCTGAAAGAAAAAAGAAAAAATAGGAAATAAAAAAACAAAAGGAATAAAAAACACAAATCGTTACTACGTACGATCAGCTATAGGCCGTAGAGTGAGCATGCATGTGATGGTGTGAGGCAAGCTGGGCCTTGCCCATGCGAGCGTTTCTATGGGCACGCTGGTCACACAAAAAAGAAAAGACAAGGCCCAGATGATACAATACCAAAAAAGAAAAACAACAAACAAACAAAAGGCTATAAACAGGTGATGACTTCAACTTAGATGTGATATCGTTATGTCACATCTAGATGAGTTTTAGACAAACCCTAGACATATTTTAGAGTGTAGATTTACTCATTTTGCTTAGTACGTAGCCAAATCTATGAAAAGACTTGTATGTAAGAACGGAACGGAGCTAGAGTAGGCTTAAGGGTTACTCCGAGTGCTACTACTACATGAGCAGGAGCAGGAGTAGTAGTACCACCTATCTTTCACCAAGGCATGAACTGGCGGTGATTTATGGCATCGGCATCGACAGCCTGGTCTCGTTCGTCTCCTACGTACAGTATGTGCGAGCAGTGGAGCGCCTCTCCTTGGATTGGATTGGATTGGATCAGCCCGGCCTCACGTGGTTCCACAGGGATCTAATCGTAAGGCCTCTGCGTCGCCATTTACGCCCCCGCCATTACTCGCGGCGTCCTTCCATCGGTCCTCCGCCACCGCCGCATCGCAGTGCGCACAGCCAGCCCCGCCGCTCTGGCCGCCGCAGCGCACACTTGCCTGCCCTGCCACTGCCAGCCCGCGTCTGCATGAATGCATGCATGCATGCGTAAAATTTACTAACGCCACCGCACAATCGATTTGACGCGCGTGTTTTACGGTGCCTGGCCGATCACCGGTCACCGCACCGGGGAGCCGAGCATAGAAGAGCACGATCCACCGTCCACGGCCAAAAAATTGATGCTCAGCTAGGTTGCATGGACTGCTCCGGAACCAAACTGGGTGATGAAACTGAAGGTTGATGCTTCCTTCCTTCTCGCCGCCAGTACAAAATCCTACGCGTCTACGCCGGAAATGCATCTTCTCATCTCGCCGCAGGCTCCGTACGTGCATGTTTTGATGCTCTGGAACTGCTGGAAGCCGACCTCTCGCCGATCACCAATTAAAGATCGAGACAGACTGTCTTTTTAAGGTGTACATGAGTAGTAAGGGCATCTCTCCGACCCTCAAACCGCCCCCATTCATCCGGACAACACAACGGTTCGGATCCTTAAAATTTACCAAGTTCGACGTCAAACAAATCTTATATGCGAAGGAAAAAGATACGAAGGGAGCACTTCGTAGAAGCTTGAGGGTGCAGCAACCGGGGAGCTAAGGGGTCCAAGGCGTAACCACCGGCGGCTTGCAAGTATCCAGGTCAGGCAGACAAGTTAAACATTCGCATCAATGTGTACGACCACCCCATTACGCGACAGATAGACCGACCGAGACAGGCGCCGAGGAACCAACAGTGGAGCAAATCCAGAGCACGTACAGCACTGGGTCTGGGTATATAACGCCGCACCCCCACCCCCACGTCCACATCCACATGATGATACATCGATGGAATCAATCAATCCGTTCCGGACAACGTAAGCGAGAAGAAAGCTCCGACTGACCCACAAATGATGGATCATAATCATCATCATGTTAAAAAACACCACCGAACCTCACATCAAACACCATTTTTTCGCCCCATCCAATACCCAACCGAATCGCCAAACAAGGAGATGCCATGGCGATCATCAACCGAAGTTGACAAGCGGCGGCATGCAGTGCGGCCGGATTCTCAGGCGCTCCAGACCTTGGAGACCCTGGGGACGTCGACGGGGAAGCGGTGGATCTCGGCCGCCCACGGGTTGCCCCTCTCCGCCTCCGCCTCGGGCGCCACCGCGCGCAGCGCCCGCCACACGGCGCTGTTGCACTTGAACCCGGAGCCGAAGGCGATCTGCCACACCCTGTCGCGCCGCCCGATGCGGCCCTTGGCCTCGCTGTAGGCCAGCTCGTACCACAGCGAGCTGCTCGACGTGTTGCCGAACCGGTGCAGCGTCATCCGCGACGGCTCCATGTGCCACTCCGTCAGCCCCAGGTTCCGCTCCAGCTCGTCCAGCACGGCCCGCCCGCCCGCGTGGATGCACACGTGCTCGAACGCCAGCTTGAAGTCCGGGATGTAGGGCTTGATCTTGGCCTTGAACGCCTTCTTGGCCACCAGGGTCGCCATGAAGAGCAGCTGCTCCGACAGCGGCAGCACCAGCGGGCCGAGCGTCGTGATGTTGGTCTTGAGCGCGTCGCCGGCCACCGCCATCAGGTCCTTGGAGAGCGACACGCCCACCTTGCCGTCCCCGTCCTCCTGCTGCGTCACGCAGCCGAAGCACTTGTCGTCGGCGCCCTTGTGGGTGCGCACCGTGTGCACCAGCTCGTACTTGGACCGCCGCCGGTCCGATCTCTTGTTCGAGAGCAGGATCGCCGCGCCGCCCATCCGGAACAGGCAGTTGGACACCAGCATGGAGCGGTCGTTCCCGAAGTACCAGTTGAGGGTGATGTTCTCCATGCTGACCACCAGCGCGTACGAGCTGGGGTGCACCTGCAGCAGGTCCTTGGCGAGGTCGACGGACAGCAGCCCGGCGCTGCACCCCATGCCGCCGAGGTTGTAGCTCACGACGTTGCCCCTCAGCCCGTAGTGGTTCACCACCATGGCCGACAGCGACGGCGTCGGGTTGAAGAGGCTGCAGTTGACCACCAGGATGCCGATGTCCTTGGGCCTCACCCCGGTCTTGTCCAGCAGCTGGTCGATGGCGCCGAACATGACGGTGCTCGCCTCCCTGCGCGCCTCGTCCATGCACGGGTTGGGGGGCACCCGCAGCACGGCGGGGGGCAGGTAGGTGTCCTCGCCCAGCCCGGACCGCTCGAGGATCTTGCGCTGGAAGTCGAGGTTGGCGTCGGTGAAGGAGCCGGTGGCCTCGGAGCAGCGCATGAAGGTCTGGCGCGTGCACCGGCGCTCCGGCCCCGGCCTGTAGCAGGCGAAGTCGACGAGGTAGACGGGGCGGGGGCGGGTGAGGAAGTAGACGGTGGAGAGGAAGACGAGGAGGGTGGAGCAGACGAGCACGGAGACGAGGTTGAACCGGAGCTGCTCCCACAGGTCGGCGAGGTCGCCCGGGGACACGGTGGAGAGCTGCACGGCCACCAGGGCCATGAGCGGCGACAGCAGCAGGTACATGCCGTGGGAGATGAGGTGGTGGTACCCCAGCTTCACGTACTTGAGCCGCACCGACTGGAGGAAGTCCGGCAGCCGCCGCGGCTGCGCTGCTGTCTCCGTCCCCGTCCCCGCCGCCGGCGGCGTGTTAGCGGCATTGGGCGCCGGAGCATCCATTCTAGTGACAAAATTAAAGAAAGAACAGTTAAACCTGAATACATTTCAGAAATCCCAAGACAAGAATTCTGGCGTCCTGCTACAGTAGTTGGGTTTAGGAGCGGAGCCGAGATGCGACGACCACACTAGCTCAGGGGAAAACAAATTCAGCGGCCACCGAGAGATCAGAGACCGCCACGGAATTCCCAAGACCAAAGAACAGCCGCATGGCGACAGCTACTCCGGCGGCCACCGCCGATCCACCATGCAGAGCTCGAGCAATGCGTCAAAATCAAATCGAAACCGAACCGCCGGCGCAGCTCGGGGGCAGGGGAGGCTTTGAGACGTACCCAGGCAGGGCAGACGGGAGAAGCGGCGGCCTCAGCGACGGAGTCTCCCGATCTGTTGCGCGCGGGAGGACGAGGAGGAGCGGAAGAAGACCCGAGCCACTCCGCCGCCCCGCCCCCCTTCTCTCTCCCTCGCTCGCGCGCTCTATCCCTGCCAGCAATACGGCCGCGAGCAGCGCGTGGTGGCAGGCAGCTCGGCCGCGCGCGTCTTTAATAGGGGAGAGGAGGGGAGGAGAAAACGGCACGGGAAACAAGCCGAGCAGGAGCAGCTGGAAGAGAGAGGAGGCGCTCTGTTTTGTTTCGGTTAGTTCCGACTTCCGAGTCTCCGCGGCGGCTCTGCGTGACTTCGCCTGGCCTTCCTCCAAGCACCCATGACACCCACCGATCGATCCGCTCCACTTTCAGTGTTGTTGGACTTTGACACACCAAATATTCAATAATGCTAAACATACAAAGAGTTACACGCAATTACACGCTAGCTATGATTTTTTTTTTTCATCTACTAACCAATCACAAACTTGCCCCCCCTCCTCTGATTTTCGGAAGAGTGGGCCGCCACCCCACCTATTGACCAATCAAATTAACCATCTTTATAAAACCTTGTAACTCGTTTGTACGTGTAGCATTACTCCCAAACATTTGACCGTCAGCCGTTAGTTTTTCCTTTTTCGAATCCTTCAAAATTCCTAGAGCTTTTTTTTACGGCGGTGGTCGCCAGGAACACCCCTCCAGCGACCCCTCTAGCCGCCGCAGTTTCTAGATGAAAAATGCACCAAAATAAACAAAAATGGTACGTATGCTTTTTGTAAAACCGCATCCTCCAAAGTCCGAAACACTAAAATTGCCATCCAGGCGGTTTGCAAATGCCACCCCTAGCTAGGCGGACGGTCGCCAACTAGAGGGGGTCCATGCCAACCATCAGATTACCTCACGGTCCGTAAAGTCGATGGATCACACATGAGGGGCATAACACGATTTTAGGTAGTTCCTGAGATTCATGTTTTAGTCGGTCGTAGGTTTCCAAACTTACAATCTTATCGGTTGCTCGTACCAAGTTTTAGAGTTGAAACTTAAAACTTATGATTTTGTCGGTTGCTCGCACCAAGTTGAAACTTAAAACTTATGATTTTGTCGGTTGCTCGTACCAAGTTTTAGAATTGAAACTTAAAACTTATGATTTTGTCGGTGGCTCGTACCAAGTCAAAACTTAGAACTTACCATTTTGCCAGCCGCAAGTTCCAAAATTTATGATTCTGCTGCCCTAGCTCTTGAATGGAGGCCGCTACCAATTCAGAGTTGAAACTTAGAACTTAGTATTTTGTCCAAAACTTACGATTCTGCTGGCCGCACGTACCAAGTTTCAGAGTTGAACCTTAAAACCTCCGATTTTGTCGATCGCAGGTTCTAAAACTTACGATTTTGTGTGTCGCACATACCAAGTTTCAGAAGTTGAAACTTTAAAAATAACCTTGTCAAAACATGTTTTAAATGGATCTCATTTGAAAGCCCTCATCATCAGAAACATGAATATGCAAACGGAATTTAATTTAGACTTTTGATTCAAAAGATATGAAAGATTAAAAATCGAAAGCCAAAAGAAAATGGGGCCGCGTGCCCCGACACCTGCGTGCTACAATACACCCCCCATAAAGGCTAATGAATTGACCTAGTTGGTCGTCGGATAAACTCACACAGATCTTGGTGCATCCAACATGATATCTCAGACGAAACGTTTGCTCGGTCGTGCGACAGCATTGCATCAGCCTTATCCTCCTCATTGTGAGAAGAGGAGAAGACCGCTCTCTTCCTCGTCTTTCTCGTTCAGTGAGCAGCGGTCAACCTTCTTTCCTCCTCCTTGAGACGCGGAGGATTCGAGAATAATATTTGTAGATGCAAGCCTCTTGGATCGGAAGGCAAAAAGTGGATTGAGGGGAGGAAGAGGGAGACCAACCCGCGCAAGGAGTACCCGGGGGTAAGAGCGACTATAGCAACGGACACGGCATAGACGGCGGCCGGCAAGTGATTCATCATGTCAGCCCTCGGTTGCATATTAAGGGTGAACTTGCAACTAGAAAAAAAAGGGTCACCTCCAGTTGCATGTCAAGAGTGTGCTTGCAATTAGGGCAAAAGTGGGTCAAGCCCCACTTACATATCGATGGTGGACTTGCAACTGGGACCTCCAAATTACATGTCGGGTCGGAGGTGGAGTTACAACCGGTCACAAAAATGGGCCGACCCTCAGTTACATATCAAGAATGGACTTGCAACTAGGAAAAAAAGTGGGCCCAATAGCATGTTGGGGTTGGAGTTGCATCTCGGACGAAACGGCCTAGCAAAAGATGTGTGTGTGTGTGTGTGTGATTGGGATGACAAGAAGACACTGGACGTACGACGAGACATCGGACGCACGTGATGAAATAACCGGCAATGAAGATTTGCGCAATATTTAAAGTGAAGAGGTTGAACGGTCAGGAACATAGACGAGACATTGTTAAATTTGTTTAGAAAAAGTTTATGAATTTTATAAAACAAAGAAAGAAAATAAAAATGGAAAATGGAAAGGCATAAAATAAAAATAAAATAAAGGACATATATTTTATAAAAATAATGAATTTTAAAAAATGGAAAAAGAAAAAAGAAAACGGAAACGAAGAAAACCCAAGAGGAAAGTCACGGAAAAAAAATGCAGCCATTCAACAGATTTTCTTTAAAAAAATATACGAACAAGCCTATTGTTGCACAAACAAGTAACTTGCATCTTGCCATTCTCGTGCATTGCTTTGAAAAACAACAACTCAAAAAAAAAAAGTGCAGCTCACAAGCGCAGATACATCATCGTTGGGCCTGGCCCAGGTAAGACAAGGAACGCGGACAATCGGGGAACAAATGCAGCTGCGGGGGACGTACGTGTACGAGCTACAGTTGCACCAATCTTGTACGTAACAAGTTTAATCCCGTGGCGGTGAAGTTAGATGTGACATAGCTAAATTTCATCTAGATTTGATTTAGCAATTTCATTGGGTTTTACCTATAAAGCCAGATGAAAGCTTGTTTCGAGAGTGAGAATAGGGTGGGATCACAAGAATACAAGGTGTAAAAGCTGAGAGGAGTCGATCTTCTCGTTCACCTAATGGCTCCTCGCAGATTCTCGGGTGTTGTCCGTTGACCGATCACCCACAATCTTAACACCATCTCAAAGTAGAACTAAAGATCAGCGCACAAGGTGATGTCACGAAGCCATCGTCGGATCCTTGATCGAGCTCAGCCTGTATAAAAACCATGCCCGGCCACCACACACACCACAGGGCATGAAGCTGGGACCGGGCATCAAGTGTTAGCGACGTTGGCAGTGGCCAATTACTCTTAATTGTAATTAACAGAGGCCTATATATACACAAATGTTGGGGGTG